CGGTTTCCCTCTTCAAGGTGGGGATGAACACTTAAATGTGGTGTCTCTCAAGTTCTTGTGCACGAGGTATTTCAGTGCACCGCAGGTACATATGATGGTGCTGGTTAATGCAGTGTATAAAAATGCTGACGAAGGAAGCTATTAGCGAAGAAGTGTTCAGTCAATTCAATAAGAGAAGCTTGTGAATGGAAGAAAATGGTTACCTTCGCAGCAAGCGAGCTCCCTCTGAAGTCCAGAGCCTCCCATCGTTGTCGTTACTTTCGATTCGGATCCAACAAAAAAACGACGAGCAGGGGAATCGAAAGAGGCAAAAAGGGTGAATAAGTCTTTTTATCGACCTTATAGGAAGGAACATCATCTAAGGATGAGAAGAAGTCTTTTATCGACTCGTTCAAAACTTTACCTCATACGGACTGTCTGAGGTGGGGGAATCAGGTCAGATCCAGGTCAACTTCAGGTTAACGAGTTGACTCGGACCATAACTAATTTTCAAACATATCGAAATTTGGTACCCGAACCTGGCCCATTTCCTAAACATGTTGACCATATCCTGAAAATTTTGGATCGGATTCGGGTCGATTTTCGGGTCATATCAAATATTGACACCCTTACATTCAATAATGGTTTTGAGTAGTGTAAAATTTAGAAATTTTGTTTCATTACTTCTTCAACCAAATATTAAGATCAGTCTTACCACTATCAGATATAGTATAACATGTGTGATATCTAGTCATATCAGATGAAATTGTGATAAATGCAATTCCGTACAACCCACATATTCGTTTTTAAAACTCTATAATACCACCCTAGTATCTTCCCCTTTTTATAACAATTCAAATATTAAAAAAACTCCTAAATTTTTTTAAAATTAATCAAACATCAACTAATTTTTCAAATATTAAACTTTATCAAATAATTTCAAGTAAATAGCTCCTAAAAACAAAATAATAATACTAAAAAAACTCCATCAAAATATTTAAACGCAAATCATTTTCAAACAAATAACTGAAATAAGACAACATTTGCTTGCGACGGAACCTCTTTTCATTCAAAAATAGTACGAACAAACGTAAATATAAGGCGCTTTCTCCACGTGTCCAGAAGTTGCCAGAAGACGCTCGTTAATGGCCCTCCGCGGCCGGCCTCCTCCTTTATTCCTTATATAGCTCGGAACTGAATTCCCTCCTTCCTCCATTCTGTTTCCCGTAAATCGAAACCCTAACCGAGTTCTCCGAGCGATCAGGGGAAAAATGATGGCGTGGAACCGGCCGCCGTATAAAGGCTCCGATGTCGAGGCCGGCGGTGGAGCGCGGCCTCTCTATCCGTCGATGTTGGAAAGCCCGGAACTCCGGTGGGCGTTCATCAGAAAGATCTACAGCATTCTATCCATTCAGATGCTTCTTACTATTGCAGTTTCATCCGTTGTCATCTTTGTCCGACCCATCTCCCACTTTTTCGTGTCTTCCGGTGCCGGCCTCGGCCTCTATATTTTCCTCGTCATCTTGCCATTCCTTGGTACTCTCTCCTGCATCACTTTCTTTGTTATTTTGCTTAGCAATTTCTAGGTTTGTTCTTTTTCATTAATGTTATTTGTGGTTTTTTTGGATCTTTTTCGCTTTTTTTGCGGTGATTTTTGGCAGTTTTTTTTTTCGCTAGATGTCAGTTGGAACCTTTATTCTTGAGATTTTTACTTTTTACTCTTTTAAACCTAGGAAAGTCATCCAGTTGGGCGCTTATTGTAGTTTCTAGCATTTTGATGATTCGTTCTAATACTTGTATAAATCTCCCTTTTTATATTTTGTTTGGAAATTTCTTTCTCATACGGAATTCCGACTCTTTTGCTGCTCTGCGTTGCAGTTTCAACAACATAGCATTTCTCGGACCTGTATGGTTTCTTATGCTGATATTTATGATTTTATATCAATGTCGTCCATTAAATATGTACGATTCAACGTTATCTTATCCTAAAAAATATAATGTTGTATATAAAGTTGAAAGATAATTAGAATACTGTTTTTTATTGCATTTTTTTTACTTTTTGTTTGTCATATGATGTGGTATTTAGGCTGTCTAATTCGATGGACAACTGGATCTAATCCAAACAAAATTTGAATGTAATTATAAAATTATTTTTTTGAAAGGATAACTTTCTTCAGTAATACCCAAATTTTGATTTTTTTTACAAAACCAATACTTATGACCAACTACTATTATTCACAAATTGACCACAAATCTTGAAATCTGGACAAAAAACTCTTTTTTATTTTTTGTACTCATCAAACATTCAATGAATTAGTCATGGTGAGCAAAAATACAGTTTGATAATCCATTTTATTTAGATTGTGTGCTAGTTTTGTAAATCATAAACTTTCGGATGACATGAATGTAATTTTACATATATAAAAAAAGGAGAGAATTCCTTATGTATCACTCATATTGCTAGCATTAGAAGCATTATCAATTTTTCTGTCCATTCGATATTAAGGAGTAGAGAATTCTATGTTAAAGAAGATAAGACTTGGTTTAATTTGCCACATTTTCAGTGTTGATCCCTCTATATTTCTACCACCAGCGCCATCCATTAAATCTGTTTCTCCTCGCCCTTTTCACTGTATCCATCAGCTTCGCGGTGGGATTGTCATGCGCATTCACCAAAGGCAAGATCTTTGAAACTTGTTCTGCTTATTTGATTGCTATAAAGTGAATTCCTTCTGATTGATTTGGAAAATGTGGAGCAGGGAAGGTTATTCTTGAGGCAGCCATTCTCACCGCAGTGGTTGTCGTCAGCCTTACTCTTTACACCTTCTGGGCAGCAAAGAGAGGCCATGATTTCAGCTTTCTCGGCCCGATATTATTTTCCTCACTCATTGTCTTGATTGTTTTTGCCTTCATCCAGGTAATTGATCTTGTCCCCTTTGAATCTATTTCACAAAAATGTGTTTTTGGTTTAATAATTATCATCTGTGTAGTTAAATTTTGACATCACATTGTTCTATCTGCAACTCAGATCTTTTTCCCAATGGGTAGAATCTCACATATGATCTATGGCGGCTTGGCTGCTCTAATCTTCAGCGGCTATATCATCTATGACACAGATAATTTGATTAAACGCTACTCCTATGATGAGTACATATGGGCTGCAGTCGCTCTATACCTCGACATTATCAACTTGTTTTTAGCTCTTCTTACTCTTTTCCGAGCTGCTGATGACTGAGTCATCGTAAATATTACAAGTTGTTATTTTGTTTCTGCTACAAGCTTTGGATTTCAGTATTAAGAGTGTTTTTTTTTTCCTTTCAGTATAGGTTTCAGTGCTTTTTTTTTTGGGGTTGGTTCCTTGTAAAGTTGCTTAAACTTGTCCATGAATGAAGTTTGATTTCATGATATTTGATTTTTTTATTGTATTACTTTGAGGTCAAGTATTCTTGACATGGCATGGTTGGAGAATGCTTGAAATTAGTGTTTGCTTAATTGCTAGGTGATTCCAAGGGGAGCTGTGTACTTCACTTTTCTCTAGAGAGAACATGATGCTTCCCTTTGATGTCGGAGAGATTATTACGTACAAAAAATCGTTCAGTTTTGTAATTGTAAATAATAAAAATATAGTTATTGTTCACCACTACATTTTTATTATTCACGACTCCGCTTTTACTATTCAAAGTCACAAAATCGAACGGTTTGTATCTGGACTCTGCACATAATAATCTCTCTGGGTGGCTAACCATTGTTGTGCTTTGTTCTTGCACTGCTCCTTGGTAGACCTGTCAATTTCGGGTCACGGGTCGGGTTCGGATCAACCCGAAATTGACCCGGCAATATTCGGGTTCGGGTCAACCCGACCCGTTTTTACAAACGGGTCGATTTTCCGAACCTGCACCCGACCCGCTTCGGGTTCGGGTCAACCCGACCCGTTTTTACAAACGGGTCGATTTTCCGAACCTGCACCCGACCCGCTTCGGGTTCGGGTCAACCCGACCCGACCCGCTTAAATTTGATTTTTAGAGTTCTCGCGCGGTGCAGCGGTGGCGGTGCAACGGCAGCGGCGGCGGTGCAACGACGACAGTGCCTGCGAGGCAGCGAAGCTGGCTAACGGCGGTCACCGGGTCACGGACGTGAGCTCACGGCTCACCCATGTTTAAATTTTTATGTTTATTTATATATTATTTTAATGTTTAAATTATATTAAAAAATATGATTGAAACAATATAATTTATTTAAAATAAGTTAGTCATCTAATAATGATAGTAGGGCTGTCATCACATGTAACACTCAAAGAGCTAATCAGTGATGACTCATCTAATACATGTAGAGATGCAATCAATATAAAAGATGTGGTTGAAATTATTAGTTATCAAGCTCAAGATTCAAGTGATTGGTAGTAATTCAAAGACTTGAAATATGGAAAGAATTTAAATATTTATGAGAGCTTGCTAGTGTCTAGAGTGTGGGATTAATTTTGTAATGTCCTAGAATCAAATTTAAAAGAAATATTTATTTTATCTTCTTAATTAATCAATCAGAGCTTCTATAAATCATCAAAATAATAAATATATATCCAGTAAAAGCAATTAACAATTATATACCTCAAAATATTGACATGTTTACTTCTTCAATGTGGAGAGGCATTTAGCAAGGTATGGGTACGAAACTACTTTCAGTACGATATTTCATTCTCAAACTAATGGATAGTTTAAAAGAGTTATTTAGAAATTTGAAGACCTTGTGAGACTATGCATCCTAGATTTTGGTGACAGCTTAGATGATCACATGCATCTAATTGAGTTTTCCTACAATAATAATTTTCAAACAAATATAGGTATGACCCTTTACAAAGCTCTGTGTGGCAAGAAGTGTAAAATATTTTTATCTTGGACAAAGGTGGTTGAAAGGAATCGGATTGGGCCAACTTAGTTGATGATGTACGCTATTGAAAATGTCAGTCTGATCAAAGACAGATTAATTAAAAGCTGTGCATGACGTACAAAAATTGTATTTTGATGCTAAGCATCAAGCTATATAGTTTTTTATTGGTGATTTTGTATATGTGAAAATCAAGATGATCAAGGGCATCAACAGGTTTGGCTAGAAAGAAAAGTTTAGTCTAAGGTAAGTTGGATTTTTTAAATTTATTAAAAGAATTAAAAATTATGCATATGGGTTACAGTTGCCATATCATATATGTGAAATCAATAGCCCCTTTTAGTTCAAACTAAACAACCCCTAAATGCATCCTACTTGAAGTAGATCATTTTAATGGGAAAAAAATATTTAAAAATATGAATTAAAAAAATACTTAAATTCACTTTATGATAGTACATAGATTTCCTAACTAGACTATTAATCTCAAAATAAATCTAATAATTTTAAAGTCCATTTTAATATAAATTATATCAAAATATCCTTTTTTTTTTCTATCTCAATTCTCCTTCATTTTAAGCGGCAGCCTTCTCCGATGACCCAGTTAGGAGAGTAGAGGAATTAGATTTGACTTATGTTAAGAAAGGTAGGGGTATATCTAAAAAGACTTGGTTATAAAATATTAGGAATGACATTTATTTATTTGATTTAAACGAGAATTTGACTTTTAATAGGTCACAATGGAGAAAAAGGATTCATGTAGCCGACCCCACGGAGTGGGATAAAGGCTTGATGTTGTTGTTGTTGTGAATTCTCTTTCATTTTATTTGCATAGAACTTATCAAAAATATTCATTTCTTTCATTATGAAATTACACTTTAAAAAAAAAACCCATTCCTAACTCTTCATCTTCCAACTTCTCCTCTCATTGAGCTCCCCTCGCCTTCTCACCGGCGATCGAGAGCAACCAGCTAACACCCTTCGTCCATATCTCATACTCCCTCTGTCCCCTACATTCGAACTCGACCACTCCCTCCTCTATTGTCTTCAACCCGAAGTAACGCCGCTCCGCTCCACCTTCCTGCAGCAAATGCCTCCCCGGCCATGGCGGCATGTCCTTCCACACCTCGATAATATCTGAAAACAAAACGGAGAAGCAAGCCATGTAAATTTCCACAGAAGTATGTACTGAAGAGCAGAATATTACTAACTCTTCTTCTTGCTGGTGATGCTTCCAGCCACATGCCGGCTCTTGGTCTTGAGCTTCACATGGCCGTCTCTGTCGATGTATACTGAAACAATCTTCCAGTGAAGAGCTCCTACGTTGTCAAAAGACGCCATGAATTTTAGCTCTTAGTGCTTCACTGAAGCTTGAATTTTAAATCTTAATTGAGAGAGTAAAAGTCTAAAAGATCTTGTCTTTAATTTAAAGAGGTATATTTTATGTAATATGTAAAATTATAACCGAATTTGAAGATAATTTTTTTATATTTTATATATTTTTACATGAACAGGAGAATTGAGAGCCGACTAGAATGAATTATTGTCTTAAATTTAAGATAAATTATTTTATGTCCCTCACTAAAAAGTCTAGTCTGCCTTGCGACATCATGGCTGCAGCAATTATTTGATACCTGTCCTGCTTCTCTTCAGAAGCTCTGCACCACGAGCGAGGACCTCCTGGCTACAAAGCCCCTGAAAATGCTCCTCAGGCATGACCTCCCCGCTCGAATCCCTTGCTTCTTCACTCGACTGGCGGCTCCGATGGGCCGAAAATCCCTTCTCCTCTGGAATCACGGCGGCAATGTTCCATATTTCCTTAAAAACTCTTGCTTTCAGTGGTTCTGCTCCTCTCAGCGCTGCCGTTAATGACAGTTTCTCCCATTATATCATGCTAGATTGTTAGAGAATAACAGAGTTTTTTATTACCTGCAGCGGCAGAGGTGGTGAGAGCAACGATGTCGCCGGTAGTTCGGACACTGATGGCGGAGGCGACGGCAGCTGCTAGGTGGCCACGTTCGGCCCCGAGAGCCTCGGCGGCCTCAACGCACTGCGCGGCCACAAGAGTGGCGGCAGAGGCAATGGCGTCGTTGGTGCGAGATGCACAGTCATCTTCCGTGGAAGTGGCACCTGCAGTGGCGGCGGCGATGGCAGACACTGCAGCAGCGAGGCTGGCGACGGATATCGCAGCATCGAGCTGCGCGTTTTGAGCACGCGCCTCGTCCTTTCGTTCCCTACGGTCTTTAAGCCACTTACTCAGTGTTCTGCTTTCTACTCTGTAATTTGGCTTTGGTGGTTTAGTTGTTCTGTGGTTCTGCAACCAAAAAAAAAAAATTCACACGTTTTTTTGTGAAAAATGGGGTTTTTTTATGAAATTTATGAAAGCTGATACTTTTCTTGGTTTTAAAAAGAATTTAAAGTGAAGAAGAACAGAGATAATCCAAGGTTGCATGAAGAAGACAAACGACAGTGGAATTAGGATCCTATCAGTAATACGTAAATGGTTACGTGCTTCATCAGAAGAGAAAAACTAATCTCAATCTCTCTTCTTATTAGATCATTGATTTTAAGCCTGAAAAAAAAATTGATATTACAACTCCTATGAAATAGAGAAAGGAAAAAATAGACCTTTTTGTGAAAGTTCTGAGCAAGGAAAGGAAGGTCCTGAACGTCTTCCCAATCGCAGGGGGAGAACGGAGGGCTATCGCTGAGAGATCCGCCGTTCAATGGTCCGCTGCTGTGGGAGAGCCGACCCGACGTCAACTGCGATACATCTTGCTGTTTAAAAGTGAAGAACAGGACATTCTTAACGTCTTCATTAGAGATCTCAAAGCTCTAATCTTTGAGAGAAAATGACTTTATACATACCGGCTGCGACATGATTCTCTCCATAACGAGCTGTGAGGTGGCAGAGCAGGCAAACGTGAAGTGGTTTCCGGCTGGTAGTGGTGCGCTAAAGTCTTTTGCTTCGTCGGCGGTGTGGTCAAGTATGGCGGCGGAGGCGGCGCAGCGAGGTGGCAGGCGAGGGGAGAGAGCTTTTGCGATTTCGAAGGCAGTGGGACTCCATGATCGGGAAAGGAACTCCATTGAGCCTAGTATGAGCTCTGGCGGTGGTGTGGCGGTCGCAGAGGTGGAGCGCAGCGGCCGAACCTGTCTAGCGTTGTCCATGGAAGGCGGCTAAGGATGCTTGATTGGAGAAGACTCGACTTCTCTTCTGTTATAGGTAGAGAATTGTAGAGGGTGGGAGAGAAGCGTGATTAGAATGACAGGAGAGAGAGAGAGAGAGAGAGAGAGAGAGAGAGCTGTGTGTGTGACCAGAACTGCTCCGCTCCGCACCGTAGGCCGTAGCTCTGTGCTGTCTCCATTCTTCATGGATTCGTATCCTCTTCAATATTATGATTGTAATTAAAGAGTTAAAGTTGTCAATTAAATGACTGGGATTTTTTCTTAATGATATTGGCCAGCTACTACACAATTTGACAAAACAAACTAGCTAACTCATTAAATCCAGCCTTTTATCCTATGGGTTTAGCAATATTGTGCATAATAAGCTTCTTGGAGGGTCAAGATGGGGAGAAATTATTCCGTGCGGAGTCCAAATGGTAAAGAACAGTTCTGATGTGATTGTACATAGTGTGTACACTGAGTTTAATTTTGTACACAGTTTGATTTTTTTGTACACAGTGTGTATAAATACTATGTATAATCACATCCGGACGATTCTTTACCGTCCAAACTCTGCACATAATGATTTTCTCCCATGGAAAAGTTATTATGTGCGGACACTGAACAACATCCATAGACCAATAAAAATGCATCACGTCATTTTTTTTACTTTACCGCGGCTCGGTACTGCTCGTTACTCGGTACCGGTATCGACGCTTGGTACTGCTCGCTATCGCGGTATCCAGACGTAGAGTTGCGTCCGATGTCCGCACATAATAATTTCTCCTGACCATGAAGCTATCCATGGAGTTGTATAATTTGAGAAACTAGAATTGCACAAAGTAGAAGATCTAAGTGGTTAATTGTTGTGGCTAAAAATGGGTAGAGGTGTAGTGATAAGTGAAGGATCACCTCTACAAGGTTTGAGAACTGTAAATATTAAAAACTAGGTGAATTTTGTTTTCAGGATGGAGGTTAAGTTGGTAGGCCATGGGACTAAAAGTATCATAGTAGACAAAAATAACATTTGGCCAAGTTAGAATGTGTGTGATTGACAGCAGAATTTTGATGAAAATGCTAGATTTTGTGCCTGATCGTGACAAGAACAAAAAATCGACTTCAAGATCCAGCTGGAGAAGTACTGAGAAAAAAACTAAACTTCTAATTTATATAAAACAAAGCTACTACCGAATACAATGTAAGGAGAAAGACTAAATTTCAAAACTTATTTTTATATATATCATCCAAAAATACTTGTACAATATGAGATCTATCTATAACAGTGCTTGGAAAATAGAAAGCATAAACAAAAAAATAAGTCCAGCCTAAAAAAATGAAACTAGCCAAAAAGGAATACCTACAACACAGATCAAAACCTTATATCAACATTACTCAGCTCGCTTCTTATCATTTTCCTAACCTTAAAATGGAAGCAAAAATAAGAATGACCTAACACGGCTTAGTAGGCTATCATAGTGACATTATTCTATCATCAACCACTTGATTAATCATGTGTTGTTTTCATTGCTATAATCTAAGATAGGATTTTAGATGGCCAACCCTTAGGGCATCTCCAACCAAAAATCCCATTTTTCACTCTAAAATATAGTGAAAATAAAAAATGTTGTGATTCATCTCCAATCAAACTGCATTTTGTTCGCTTTTGCGAAGGTAATCATCTTCTCAACTTTCGCGCGTTTCTTCGGAAAATCCAGTTGAGACAAAAAAAATTGCGTATGTGAATAGCGCAATGCCAATATTGATATCGCACTCTTCACTCGTCACCGATTAGCAATTTTTTTGTCTTTCAAATGGAGCAAATTAGCTACTCCTTATCCAGGAATACGTCATATGGGATCAGTCTAAATTATATAAATTTCATTGAGGAACACCATAAGGAGTTTCACAACAAGCGAAATCTTCAAAGTGAGGAAAAATTGAGGGAAGATGGGAAAAAAAGGAACATCATTGAGATCATGTGCTCACTTAGTGAGCTAAGTGCTAAAGCTGCTCAGTGATACAGTATCTAAGGCCTTCATGTTTGTGTTCATTTAATATCAGCTTGTTCAAGTTTGGTTCATGTTTGTTCGAGCTTTATTGTTTGTGTTCATGTTTGGTTCATTTAAATTAATGAGTGTTCATGTTCGGTTCATTCTCAGTTCGATCATATTTGTTCATTTAGTACTTATCGAGCTTGTTTGTGAACATATTTAACGAATTTTTTTTAATTATCAAACAAACACGTTCATGAACATATCTATGAACAAATACATTTATAATAAAAGCAATATTCTATGTAACAAAGGCAATGATTATTTATATTTATTAATTATATAGTCAAATATTAACTATTTTTATCGAGCTTATTCACGAGTTCAAAATCGAACACGAATCGAGATTTTATCGAGCTTCTTATCGAGATTAATCTCGAGCTTGTTCACAAACTTCAAATGATGTTGTTCGCGAACATAAATGAGCCGAACGCATTAGTGTTCAAGTTTTGTTTATTTAAGAATCGAATATTTAAAATATTATTCAAGTTTGTTTGTTTAGTTAATTAAACGATCACAAATGAACTTTAATCGAACTGAACAATGAGTAGCTCATCGAACGTTTGGTTCGCTTGCAGCCCTACCCATGGACGTGGGGGTAGGGTGGGTAGTTGTGTTGGCGGGCAGCTGCGACGACAAGCAATCTGGTGAACAGGCATTGAGGCAGCGAGAGAGGGTAGGCGGGTTGCTGTAGTGGGTGGGCAGGCAAGGCGGGCGGCTTCTTTATTTCAAATTAAAATTTTCAAATTTTTCGGCGGACTTTTTCCGCCGGACAGCCATCAGAAAATTATTCCGACAGTTTTTTTTTTTGATGGAAAGCTTTTCCAACTACTTTTTTTCGCTGGAAAAATTTTCTGGGCAGTTTTACTAATGGGAAAATTTTGGACGGAAATTCACTGAAAAATGAACAATTTATGCAAAAAAAATTCGTTGGTAACGAGTGATTTTTCTGTAGTGCCTCTTTTTATAGGTGCGCAATGTTTTAAATAATAATAATAATCAAATTTGTGAAAGATTATTCAAGAAATCATTAAAAAAAATGTTTTTAATAGAGTCAAATTCAAGAGGTTAAATGTGGCTTGAGCTCATACGAATATATATGCCGGCCAATCAAACAAGGGTCATTTTTTAAAAGAAATTATTGTTTTTTCATAGACAACTTTTCCAAAAAATGCAATATATTTTTTTAATTATCTAAACTAAAATTTAATCATAATATCTTAATTCGACTATGCTTTATATTTTATATATTATATATTAACCAAAAAAAAATCCTGAATGCCAAAAACTCAGAAAGAAGCAGCTAGAAGTTCCAACAGAGAGGTCAATAGCCCAGCCATCATAGCCACAGTGAAAAGGCCTGCTCCTTAGCAAAGCCTGGCACCTTAATATTCCCCTGCCTTCACAAAATTTATCTCTTTTGAAACTATTTGTAAGTGCAGGCATCTAAATATTATTGGCTCTAAAATATGTGTGAAAAATGGAACAATTAACACTTCACTATGGCTCAGATCAGGATTCAGATAATAAGGATTTGGATCTTCATGGCGTATCTACAGTGGCGAAACCAGCCTTAGTTCACAAGGGGGGCAAGTGGCAAACTTGTAAAAAAATAAAAATACATATAAGGATGCAAAAATAATTTATTTTGCGCATAATCAATTTTCACAGACTTATTTGTTAGTATTAGAGAAGTTCAACATAATCAGATGAAAATAGCGTGAGGCCAAGAGGGTTTCCGATTTTTGGAGAGACAAATTGCATGCAAATAAAATCAGTTGTGGGCAAAATATAAAATTCATGAGGGGCATATTACAAATAACTCTTTATATACTAAGAGTTCCGCCCTTACATATCTATCATCAATAAATAAAGTAGGAGAAAAAATAGTCAAATAATTTTACAGTACATGATTCACAAATTTTATTTTATGATAAAATGCCAACAACCATCATTTTCAGTAGGGCTGTCAAAATCGGGTCACGGGTCGGGTTCCGATCCAACCCGAAATTGACCCGATGAACTTGGTTTTCCAAACCCGAAACCGACCCGCTTCGGGTCCGGGTCAACCCGAACCCGACCCGCTTAGGATATATTTTATTAAATTTTTTTATTTAATTCTAATTTATTTAAATCTAAATCAAATTAAGGTAAGATTTACTTCAATTAATTTAAAATAAATCAAGATTAATTTAATTTGGACAACAATGTTTATAATTTTTTGAAATATCATTTACTTATTTCATAAAAATCCATTAAAACTCTCCTAAATTAATTATAAACGGGTCTAACTGGGTTGATTTCGGATTTCCGGGTAAAGCCGACCCAGTTTTACAAACAGGTCAAAATATCTAACATGAACCCGACCCGGTTTAGTTTCGATTGACCCGAACCCGAAATTTTCGGGCTCGATTGACCCGAACCCAAAATTTTTGGGCCGGATTCGAGTCGGGTCAAATATTGACACCCCTAATTTTAAGTCAATTATTGGAAATTTGATTTCCAATGATCAAACAAAAACAAAAATTGCAAGTATCAATGCAATAAAAGGACAAAACTACTAAGGAACATGGTAAGAAAAGAGGTCAAAGGGGAACAATAAGTCATGGAAAGTGTGATTTCTTACTAACCATGCAGAGGTCCTTCCAAAGGAGAGAGGGGACCTGGATTGGGATTGAGGTTAACCTCTCAAAGCTAAAGAATTTTGCAGAAACCAAGATTTCTAAAGCTGTAGTGGGGACAGTTATCAAGCAGTCATGGCATAGTCAATTGATATGCAGTTTCATATGGTTTTTATTAAGGTTGTTAATGATTCAATTCGAAGTCAATTTTATTTCAACTAAAAAGTAGATCTTTTTAAAATGATTTAGCGGATATTGGAGTTTATCCATATGATCTGGTTCAGTCGAATCTCAGTTCGAGCAAATTTTGAATAAGTAATTCTGATTTGAAGTTGTGTAAAGACAGAAGCTGGTTTTGAGATTGAGGATGATGAAGCTTCCATGCTATTTTGTATAACTTAATATTTTAGGTAATATCTTTGAAATATCTTATGGGGATCAGAGATTGTGTGGTTGTTGGCAGCAATATTATTGCGGTTCACGTATGCTACAGGAAAATCACGCGTTATAGGTGGCGCTGTCGGCGACGGAGCGGTCAACACGAAGAAGACGGCGGCGATTGGAGGCGTCAGAGGCGAACATCGGTGACGAAGGCTTTTTTCCTGCTTCTTAAAGCTTATTTAAGAAGCAATAAAAAGCCGTTCCAAACGAAACCTCACTTACAAAGAGAATAGTAGGCAGGTAGACGACAATGGAACTTTGAGATTGGAATAATCGGATTACTGAGCAAACAACTTTAACTGTAACAAAAGAAAGGAACATAAACTGTATTTTTTACAGAGCATCTCCTCACATAACACCACTGGCTACTGAGATGCATCTGGGGTCTGGGCCATGCAAGAATATGCTGAGCTGTGCCAATTATTGCAGGAGCCATACCCTATTAGTTATTGTTTTCTTCTTTGCTAACTGAAAGCCAAATCTGAACACACTATTCAATGCTGATGAGAAGAATCCTAGCAAAACTCAAATCATATGAAAGCAAATAGGAACACCATTAAGAAGCAAATACAGTGAGAAACTTTCAGGATTACAAGCGATTTGTTCAGGTTTCTATCTATTCTCAGCTGCCACAAAGTACTAAGAAATTTAAATGCAAGAATCAAAAGTGATTTGAGTTTCTTCTTGGCAGAGATTATTACAAATATATGGAGGGGACAGAGAGTAAGCCATTGATTTATTGAGGCTCCATGGATGCTTATTGGAGACAAGTGACAGTTCAAGGGAAGAGCTCCAACAGAATACTATAAGAAAATATTGCATCAAAATATCCTAATGATTTACATCAGGATGGGCCTCATTGCCTTTGAATTTATACTAAGATTAATGCTACATACAATATCAAAGGATTGTACTGATCTCAGCGTAAATCCAAAAGCACTGAAGCCCATTCAAACATGAATACAATCAGGCTATCTTAAAAACTAAGAAACAATAACCTCGAAATTCAAATCAGGATAGTATATTTAATCACAAAATGTAATTATGTTCTCCAAAAACAAGTCATTTATACAAAAGGAAAGATCTCTGATAAACAATCAATATTCTTTCCTCCATACATTTCTACATGAAATCAAAAATTATTGACAACATCATAAAGAACACGAGATAATATCATATGTAAAAGATAGCAGCATAAAACCCTCATCTCTGCACATGAATAACTTGTATAGTACTAAAACTCGAGCAAAACTAAATAATCTCAATCAAAGAAAGTAGTAATCTATCCCAGCTACCTTATTCTAAGTCAAATCATCATCAAAGAAGAAAGCAACATGAACAACCACATGAAGCTATTCAGAGCAGGGAGATCTGCAAGTAACAAGCATGAAAATGCCAATAAGGTCAGTATAAAATTATCAGAATTAAAGAGAAGAAAAAAATTAAAGAGAAGAAAAATAATATTGGATGATTGAGCCACTGCCATCACCTCCACCAAATGAATTATCATTAAGATTTGTGGATGAAGATGGTGAGGATGAAGAATTTGATATGTTGATACCCAAGTTCACACAATCTCCACCAATGGAGCCTGCGGTTTAAGTAAATTTAGTTCAAGCAACTAATGCTAAAATTTTTTAAAGTATTTGTTTAGATTGATGAAAATCAAATGAAATTAAATGAAATTCATTTTATTTCACTCCAATTCCCACTATACAAACACAACCTAAGTGTTTCAGAATTGTTGAAGTGCCTGCTTACACTGTTGGTAACAAGGGAAGATGGAGACATTGAGAAGATTGTTGTATCCCAGTTTGCATTCACATCGGTGCTCGAAGGTTGAGGTTCGAGAGCATTGGCCTCCTCCACAAAAGCTCCAAGTGCAAGCTTTTTGAATTAAAATAATGAAAGAATGATAATTATTAGCAATAATTTTGTATTATTGATAGAGATTTTGTTGGTATGCGTTGCAAATAATGATGATTCATACGATCAAAGAGCGAAAGGTTGGTAGGAGGTGCTGGAAAGGGTGCAGGTGCAGGTGCTGGAGCTAGAGAATTTTTGGAGCAAGAGGAATCTATGGTACCTGAAAACAACAAAAAAAAAATTGGAATAATTGATTCATATGTATTATGAAGAACTATTATAACAAATGTCATGGTAACATTCTCATTAAAGTTCATTTTAGACTACGAATAAGCATTACTAGCTTGATAACATTCTCATTAAAGCTCACCAATCTACTTAAGTTTTTGGCTTAAAATTATATTTGACTAGTATGTATTTAACATAAATTTAGTCCTGTTTTATTTACACTCCCTAGCATAAATAAATTAATTTAGGAAAATTTGTAAGGAGCACATCTTAGGCTTCGTTTGAAACAGTTTTCTTATTCTTTTTGAAATAGCTTTCTAACATAAAAATTAAAATTTTACACTAGAAAACTGCTTTAAAAGCAATAATAAAGTCTTAATTTGACCTCTATTTATTCGTTATTATGCCTTAGAATTATCTAATATTTTCTTTTTCAAATTAAAAGCCCCTTCAAACCCCACTCCACATCAAATTCATCAAAACTTGCACACCGTTAACTTTGGACCCTTCTTCATCATAGAATGTCAAGCATTCTCTCTCTCTCTCTCTCTCTGTCTCTCTCTCTCTCTCTCTCTCTCTCTCTCTGTGGCTAGGTCATACTAAAGTATATATATATTGGCGTTCGCTATTAATTATGATGATAGTTGAATTAAATTGCCCTTGAATGCTCTTGACACTTGTTCTCTTTGTATGTTTTATGCCTCCAAGTGAATAACTACACTCAACAGTGACTGCAACCTTCGAAGGATCTTTCAAAAAATAATGATTCAAATCTACTACGAAGAACTACTTGCAAACGGACAATTTTGAATTATCATAAGTTTTGTAGCATAAGTTACGTACCCAATATCTAAGTTCCCATAGGATCTTAAGTTAGCATTTCATTCTTGTCTCTTCTTATTTTATAAGCATATTAGTCTTATTTTATAACTATTATTTCATGCAAAGCACTTAAATATTTCTCTTTATGCTCAATCATTAGTTCTGCTGATATAATTATAGTCCAATATTAAAAACCTAAGAAGATACAATCATTGTAGAGATTTTAGCCAATCAATGTTCTTAGTCCCCAAAACAAATAGCAACTCAATCACCTATGCTAATTTTGACTCAAATAAAATACTTAGTTTGCAACAAACATTGGTAAAATACTTATAAGAAAAAATAAATAAGTTTATCAAACCAAAGTAAATGTATGACTATTTTATCAATGTTGGGTGGATCCCTAATCTTTTATTAGGATTTCATCCAAACTTAGTAATTCATAAATTTTTATAATTTATTCATTTATTTCTTTCATTAATGATTATTTTTAATAATTAGATTAGAATATTAAGTACAAATTTGTGTTCATCTTGAAGAGATTACTTCATTTTCGTTACAATTTGTAATTTGTGTAGTGATCATATACCCTTTACAAGTTGCTCATTTAAATCTTTGCTAGCTCTCCCTCATAATAGAGTTTGAGAATAACATTGAAACTTTCTCATCTAGAAAGACCAAGTGAGGAAATTGAAAAAATTGATGACATTGGATCCAATATATTTCTATGGGTTTAAGTCGAGTCTAACGTTTCGTTTGGGATAAGTTTTTTACTGTTTTCTAAATCTGTTTTTTAGTAAAAAAATTTTTGAATTATAAATTTTTGTACAAGAAAACTGTTTTAGAAAACAATAAGAAAGTTGTCCCAAATGAAACCTAAGGCTTCGTTTAATTTTTTTGTACTAGAAAGCTTTTTTAAGAAACAGTAAGAAAGTCGTCTCAAATGAAGCCTAAAGTTTGGTTTGGGATAGCTTTTTTCCTATTTCTAAAAATAGCTTTCTAGTAAAAAGCTGCTTTAAGAAGAAGTAAAAAAGTCATCCCAAACGAAGCCCGAGTCTCAAAACCTTCGGAGATTTAAACTAGTCCCGCAAAACTCAAATTAAGCTTAACGATTGACCTAGGCTTCGTTTGGGACAACTTTTTACTACTTTTGAAAACAGTTTTCTAGTCCATAAATTTTTGTAATTAAAAATTTTTATACTAAAAAGTTACTTTAAAAAGCAGCAAAAAAGTTGTCTCAAAAGAAAGCTTAATTAATTGAATTCATATGAATATGAGTGTATAAATGTTACTATGCCAAATTCTCTCTCTCCCTCAACATCTCCATCAAAAGAACAAACATCAAATCCAAATAAACAATTAGGCAAAAAAAAAAAAAAATTTTGAAAAATTAAGAATTACTATTCAAATTAAAATTTTCTTTCCTCATTAACTATTTACCATTGTGCCCTCCTAAGTTGCTCAAATTACTCATCGAGTATCTTGGACTGTTTAGTTAGCTTTGGTTACCAATTCGGCCACGAAAACGTTTTCAAAATGCCAAATAAATTTCTGGAATGCTACGTGGTAGTTTCATAGTAATTATTTTTATTATTTTATTCATGCTTAAGCCGCCACGCGTTTGGCAACGCTTGTTGAAAGCGATTATGATAATCAGAAAGCAGCATTAATCAGTTAAATAAAATTTCAAAAGGAATTAGTCGCAGTCAAAATCCAATTAAACCCTCACAATTTCACTGCTTTACACACCGGAGCTTTGGCTTCTAAAAGAAAATTATATTTGACGAATTCAACCTCTCCTATGTACGTTTTTGTAAATAGTTTTTTTGTTAGGTTGAGTTTTAAAATTATGAGATCTACAAATTATTTATATTCTGCACGCATCTTAAAGTAAATAAAAAATTTTGAAATCTATCGTGATGTTTTTTTACACTTTTTTTTTCAATTTAATATCATTATAATTTGATCTTCTCAATAAAAATTTAATGATAATTAATTAATTCTAACTATCTGTCATAATTTCTTAAAAATAACTTATTCAATAAAATTTAGACCGAACGGTCATCCTCAACTAAATATGTTCATATTCAAATATCCCAACTTATTATAAAAAAATAAAAAATATATATAATAAGATATTCTGATCAATTTTTGTCAAAATATATTTAAAATCATATATATATATATATATAGGATATTCTTTTTTTTATTATTCTTCACTAAATTTTGTTTATCCTACTAACCTTAATCATGCCTACGCTTATTAATAAAAAATCATTTAAGCTCAAATTAATTAAGGATCAGCAAGAAGAAAAACAAGAAAGAAACTCACATTGAGGAATAACACAGGGCAGGAAGCTGAAATGATCTGAACCGTTGAACTGATTCCAGCCAGGGTTACACTCGCACATAAACCCAAAGGTGTGATTTTCAGAGACCTTGCAAATCCCCTTTCCACAATTCACAGCGTCGCATAATCCATCTGTTAATCACCAATTAATTCTTCTCATAAACTGTAAACCCTAAACTTCAAAGCCAAAGAGGAAAGCTCGCCATGAAAAAGCTGATTATATCTGTGACTGCGAGGAGATGAAGAGGAAAAAGAGACGAGAAGAAAAAGAGAGAGAGAAGTACTTAGGATTGGAGAGAGCAGAGGGGAGAGTATTTCTGCTGAGACTTGGCTTGGTTGCTGAAGCAGAGAGATTGATTGCAGAGCCACCAAGAAGATGGCAACTTTAGTAGAAACCATTGCTTATTCTTTCAAGCTTCAAAGAGAAGCTGAGAGAGATAGAGAGAGAGATTGGAAGAGAGAGAGAGGGTTAGTGTGCTTTGGAAATATTTAAGGAGGTATGGCGACGGTGGAAAGTGAAGAGTTTTTGAAGGTTTGACCAAAATTTGAAGAAATAAATGCTCTCTTGGATTGATTAGTAATTTCACGAGATGAGAGTTTAAGGGTCAGTTAATTAGGACGGTTAGTAGTTTTTTTTTTTTTAAGGTTGATACGGCATCACAAAATTAGCTTGATCTGGCACGAATCTTGAGGCAAAAGCTAGTTGGAAATTTCAAAAATTAATTCTTAGCGCACCCAAACTCCGATTTCAGCAAGCTTATAGTCGAACTGAGCGTCTCGGAAATACGAACTCAACGACACCAAATTCGACCAAATCCGAGCCCAAATGGGTCCGAATCATGGACCCGAAGCGTTGTTGGAAGGTTCAAACCACAATTTGAGTTACCAAACGGACTCCGATTTTGACGAGCTTATACTCGAATCGAAGGGCTCGATGAGACGAATCCAACGTATGTTTTTGTTGTTTTCAACAAAAAAAAAAAAATTGTACTAAAAAGTTACTATAACAAGAACTAAAAAAATTATCCCAAATGAAGCCCAAATATCTTATATGAATTAAAAGCTATTTTATTTTTATTTATTTTCAATGTGAAAAAATTTAATAATCATTATTAATAAACTTTTAAACGCTTAATACATTAATTAATTTTTTTAATAAAAATGTTATTAAATGATTTTTAATAAAATTATTATTTATGTAGGAATGAAATTGAAAATGTAATCAAATGGACTAATTATTACGTGCGGAGTCTGGAATGTCCTATTTGATGCGTATTTACTCAGTATTTGTAAATACTCAGTTGTGAGTAATTTGTTGTGTATTTGCTGAATATTTATGAGTATTTACGAATAAATATTTACCAAATACATATCAAATTCATATGATTCTCTAGTCCGGACTCCACACATAATAATCTCTTAATCAAATGGCTGTTAGAAGATAAGTCGATCTCTTTTGTTTTATTAAATTATTTTGAATATGTTTTTGTTTCTTTAAAATGTAAATAAGACATATATCAAACAAGTCAAAATGTTTGATCTGAAACCAACTCTACTAACTCGAATTTAACTCATTTGTCTTATCAATCATGCAATTTTTAGATCAATGCAACCCATTTAACTCAAAAAAATATTTGTTTAGTCCAAACCTAACCCGTTTAATCCGAACTCAAATGATTCTCAAGCCAATTTTCAGTTTTTGGAACAATCCGAACATGAAATTTTCAAGTCGGATCATCGCATCATGTTATTTATCAACACCTCTAATCTACTTCTACACAACACATTAATCTTGTAGGCCTTCATTTAATGATGTTAACTTCCCAACCAATAAAGTAAGATGCGCTGCATGTTTTAATTAAGCGATGGATGATCATAAAAGCATTCTTTATTATGAGTTGATTTATTACACATTTATCTATCTTTTTCAACAAAAAGATCTAAAGCAGTCAAATAGATGTATGAACATTTAAGATTTTTCAGACCTAACCAATGTACAATCATATCATGGTTTAAATTATCTTTGAGACAGCTTTTTTACAACTTCTTAAAACATTTTTTTAGGGAAAAATATATATATTTTTACACTAAAAAGCTTATTTGAGGAGCAATATGAAAGCCGTCCTTAGGCTTCGGCTTCGTTTGGGACGGCTTTTTTACTGCTTCTTAAAGCAGTTTTCTAGCATAAAAATAAAAAAATTTGTACTAGAAAGCTGCTTTAAGAAGCAGCAAGAAAGCCGTCCCAAACAAAGCCTTCATTTGAGACGGCTTTTTATTGCTACTTAAAGCAACATTTTAGTAGAAAAATTAAACCTTTTTAACTAAAAAGTTGTTTTAAAAAGTAGCAAGAAAGTCGTCTCAAACGAAACCTTAGTGTATTGTGATTACACTTCATTTTCTTTTTTTTTTAGACATTTAGGCAATTTAAGGCAAACTCACACACACAGCACATACACAGACTCAAACCTAAGACTTCTTAGTTGACATTCTAAGCTCTGTACCTTTCATTTTCAACTTAGTACTTCTTAAATTGCCAATCTTTTCAACTTTCACCAACTGGTCATAAATAAAGGATGATGAAGTGGCATTGTTAAATACTATTGTTTTTTTTATATATATAATTGAAATTTTGAATGGAAATTAATTAATATAAACATTCTCTCAATTATATTTATTTTAATATTAAAATAATATATTAATCAATTAATGCAATAATTTTAAAATGTATTTAATTATTTAATGAATAATAATAATAATAATCAGATTTTCCCTAAGATTTTTTATCATAATTTTATTTTAAATGAATTTAATGGATTAAAATCATCAAAATTGTAATTTATATTTAGATTCAAAATATTGTTTGTAAAATTTGAGGTAAGTATTATTAAGAAATTAAGAAAAATAGAAACAATTATTACGTCCTCCGACCGGATGCAGAGGAACATCCGGTTGTAGGCAAAATCCCGCCTATACCGAGGTGTGTATCGAGTTTTTCCAAAAAATTTGGTACACCTCGGTATAGGCGAGATTTTGCCTACAACCGAATATTCCTCTGCATCCTTACACCGGACTAAATAAAAGTTAGAAAAATAGATTGGGTAGTTAAGAGTTAAATTAATGTCTGTGCGGTGGTAATAATGGCGTTTGACTAATCGTTTGGTTGGCGGTCAGCGGTGGGAAACATTTGTTGATTTTTTTTTTTTTTTTGATTTGATTAGTTTGAATTGTCCATAGGGATTCAGATATTCAGATATAAGCTTTTCGTAAATATATAAATAAATTGATTTGTTTGGTTTAGATTTATAATTTTAACGCCTGAAAAAATACAATATTGAAAATCACATCTTCAGTTATGGGACGGGTGGATTTTTTTTTTTTTTTTAAATGAAAGCCACATCCAACTTTCATTAATAAATTCCCACTATGTCGAGCCAATTACATAAAACTTTTTTCTTCATGGTGTCTTGTTAAAAGTCAAATTCTTATTTAAATCTAATAAAGAAATATCATTTCTAATATTTTTTTAATCTAAGTTTTTTTAGGTCTACCTTTATCTTTTCTTAACCTAAGTCAAATATAATACCTCTATTTTTCTAACCGGGTCATCATAAGGACGGCATTTCATTAATAAATCAGAATTATAAAAATGTTATTGTTGCGTCCAGGAGTATTCGCGGCGGTAGAGAAATATAAGATTTAACGTCTTAGCGTTGTATGAAAATCCAGCACGCAATCAGATAAAGAGAGAGGGCCTAACATTTATAAGACATCAAAGTTTTTACGTGGAAAACCCCTGAAAAAGGGGGAAAAAACCACGGAGCCTAATCCAGTTTGAATGAATCCACTAGTATTGTAGTCGATTACAAATGAGGCCCTTCCTTGGGAGAAAGTCTTAGCTTGATGTACATTTTATAGAATGCATTACATGATGTGAATACAAAGAATCACTATTGACATGTTCGTTTGGTCGGGAAGACCGTAGTCGGCGGGCGACGGAGGTCGGAAGGCTTGTAGTCGGTGGGCGACGTAAGTCAGGAGGACCGTAGTTGACTGGCAACGGAGGTCGGAAGGACTGTAGTCGGCGGGCGACGTAAGTCAGGAGGACTATAGGCTGCGGGCGACAGAGGTCGGAAAGACTGTAGTTGCGGACGATGTAAGTCAGGAAGAATGTAGTTGGCGGGCAACCGAGGTTGGAAAGACTGTTGTCGGCGGTCCACATAAGTTAGGAGGACCGTAGTCAACGGGTGACAGATGCCGAAAAGACTGTAGTCGGCGGGCGACGTAAGTCAGGAGGACTGTAGTCGGCTGGCGACAGAGGTCAGAAGAACTGTTGTCTGACGACGAAGATCAGAAGGACGATGTCAGGTGGATGTCCAACAAAGGAAAGAAACCCATCTTTGCATAGACGTCCAGCGAAGTCTGATAACCGATAGAAGTCCGGCATAGGGTAGAAACTTGGCGAAGAGTGAAGGTCCGATGTCGGGTAGAAGTCCGGCGTCTGTTGGTGGCAGAGGAGAACTCCGGCTGCACTTGGGCGGAGTTTCGGCGTAAAGAGAGAACTCTGTTGTCAATTGGGAAGAATTTCAGCATCACGTGGAAGTTGGGCAGAATTCCTGCGTTCTCCCGAATATCACGCAGAATCCCGACGTGTTCGGGTGGCAGGACGAACTCCGACGGTGGTCGAGGAGGAGAGGATTCTCCTTTTTCCCTTTCTCCTCTTCTTCTTTTCTTCTTCTCTCTCTTCACTTTAGTCCCCTTTGTGAAGAATGAGAGCTCTATTTATAGTTTTTCTGGAGTGGCATGGCTCGTAAATATGTGTGAGATCAGGGGCGAATAGGGAGTGGTTTGAATGGACGGCCGATATTGAACCCTTTAATTGTGCGCCGTTCGTTGGACATTTGGAGGTCTTAATGATGTCGGAATTTGGTGATCTTGGGCTCGTTGGATTCGTCTCGTCGAGCCGCTCGATTTGAGTATAAGCTCGTTAAAATCAAAGACCGTTTGTTAACTCAAATTTTGGTTTGAACCTTCCAACGACGCTTTGGGTCCTTGATTCGGACCTATTTGGGCTCGGATTGGGTTGAATTTGGTGTCATTGGGTTCGTATTTCCGAGACGCTCAGTTTGACTATAAGCTCGCTGAAATCGGAGTTCAAGAGCTTCCAAATTTATTTTTTGAAGTTTCCAACTAGCTTTTGCCTCGAAATTCGTGCCCGATCAAGATAATTTTTGCATGAGGTATCAATTATATAGGAGTTGGAGTTTGTATTAACGGCGTGCATCTACCTCATGGGCAATAACATACATTGACAATGCTGGCGATGTCAAGTGACAAAATAGGGGAGCATCGGTATAGCTGGATTATAATGGTTAGATGATCATTGTGAAATGATTGTAGTTAATTATAGATCGTAGTTGGGCAACGAAGGTTAGAGGGGCATAGCTAGGCGATGGTGACTAGCGAATTGACACGAGGATGTTCGGAAAACCATGATCGA